AAACTTACATGACGTCAAGGTCAGCGACGACGCGGTGCCAGGATTACTGAAATTTTGTGCAGTTTTTTTTTTTAATTTTAAAACATCTGCAATTGTATTTTCAAAGCCATAAAAGTCAAATTATTATTGCAAGCAGTTTTATAGATGTTATAATAAATTTGTTGATGGCTTGACCTTTAATGTTAGTTCTGTTTAATTTATATCTTTCGATTATTGAAATGGAAAACATTTGTGGTATAATGATCCTTTAAATTTACCCCATTTGAAATAAGTATATAAATCTCGTTTGAAAATTAAATATTAGGCCCCATGTTTTTAAATAATATTTCTAAGATTTTTATCGACTTGATTTCAATTTATCCTTGTATACCATTTATCTATTTCAATTTCAATTTGCCTTTAATTTAATATCTTTTTAACTACATATCCTATACAAAGATAAAATTCCTTTTAATATATCAATCACCATCATTAGCCTATCAAGTTCCATTCTAAAACACAAGCCTACGCTATAGATTATAGTAATAAGAATTATGTTTTCTTTTTTCTTAATATCAATATATCAAAGGTATTTATTTTAATCTGATAAAATCACTGATTTACAAATACTAGTACGCTGGGCTGGCTATATCATAGAAAACTTTTGTGCCGATTTGAAACGCCGCTGTTGAATGTACCGAGAACTAAATTTGACATAGTTTGCAAATGGCTGTTGTTTTTCCTAAAACGTCTAAGAGCACTAGTGGTTCAGCATTCGCAGTATTTTAAGTTTTTTGTATTACTTTGAAAGGCATTGCTACACATACACTTTTTCGTTGCTACAGCAGATCCCCTCCGCAGAGATCGTGATCCTCGGCGACTTTAACGCCCATCACGCCGAATGGCTCGGTTCACGTTTAACCGATCATGCGGGGGAGATCTGTTCATGATTTTGCCTTGGCATATGGTCTGACACAACTGGTTACTTCGCCTACGCGGATTCCAGATGTGGAGGATCATGCACCTTCCCTGTTGGACCTTCTGCTGACCTCTCACCCGGACGGATATCAGATTTCCGTTGACGCCCCTTTAGGCTCCTCGGACCATTGTCTTGTCCGGAGTGTGGTGCCACTCACGCTGAAATCGCGGTTGCATTCTGCAGGCTGCCGCCGTGTTTGGCACTATAGGTCAGCCGATTGGGATGGGATGCGGTCTTTCTTTGCATCCTACCCTTGGGGGCGGGTTTGCTTCTCGCCGGATGATCCCAACGTTGTTGCGGATTCTGTCGCTGATGTGGTACTTCAGGGTATGGAACTTTTTATTCCTTCCTCTGTGGTGCCCATTGGAGGCAAATCTCAGCCATGGTTTGGTCGCTCCTGTAAAATAGCATCATGCTATAAGCAGGAGTGCTACCGAGCCTGGGCTGACGCATCAGCGTCCAGGGATGTAAACACCAGCGCTCTAAAAAAAGAAGTATAATTCCGCCTCTAGGTCCTTCAAAAGAGTCATTGCCAAGGCAAAGTCAGAGCACATAGGCAGAATTGGCGAGAGACTAGTTCGTCTTCCTTCTGGAACCCGTGCATTCTGGTCTCTCGCCAAGGCTGTCCAAGGGAATTTCTGTCAGCCATCTCTTCCATCTCTGCACAGGGAGGACGACTCACTGGCCCACACCGCAAAGGAGAAAGCCGATCTTCTAGGCTCTTTCTTTGCGTCTAACTCGACTCTCGATGACGGGGGGAGTACGCCGCCGACCATCCCGCGGTGTGAGTGCTCCATGCCGGAAGTGCAGTTCACTCAGCGCTCGGTTCGCAAAGCACTCCTCTCCCTGGACATCCATAAGTCGAGTGGGCCTGATGGAATCCCCCCAATTGTGCTGAGGACGTGTGCTCCAGAGTTGGCACCGGTTTTAACGCGTCTTTTCCGGTACTCCTACTCCCTAGGCGTAGTCCCAAAATCATGGAAGACGGCTTTCGTCCACCCGATCCCTAAAAAAGGCGACCGCTCAGACCCGTCCAACTACCGGCCTATCGCCATCACCTCCTTGTTCTCCAAAACAATGGAGTCCATTGTAAACTGCCAGCTCATGAGGTACCTTGAGGATCACCAGCTGATTAGTGACCGCCAATACGGTTTTCGCCGTGGTAGGTCAGCTGGTGATCTTCTGGTCTACCTAACTCACAGATGGGCGGAGGCAGTAGAGTCCAAGGGGGAGGCATTGGCCGTTAGTTTGGACATTGCGAAGGCCTTCGATCGGGTTTGGCACAAAGCGCTTCTTTCGAAGCTCCCTTCCTATGGGCTTCCCGAGAAATTGTGCGATTGGATCACCAGTTTTCTTGCAGATCGGAGCATCAAGGTCGTTGTAGACGGTGCAAGCTCCGATTGCAAGCTTATTAATGCTGGTGTTCCACAGGGCTGCGTGCTATCGCCAACGCTGTTTCTTCTGCATATCAATGATATGTTGCAAACCCGTAGCATTCATTGCTATGCAGATGACAGCACTGGTGATGCTCTTTACACCGGCCGAGCCAATATTTCTCGGGAAAACGTCTCTGAGTGCCGGGACAAACTTGTGTCTGAAGTCGAGTCTCTGCTGGACAGAGTCTCGGATTGGGGGCGACTAAATCTAGTCCAGTTTAACCCCCAGAAGACACAAGTTTGCGCGTTAACCGCTAAAAAGAACCCCTTTGTCGTATCCCCTCAGTTTCAAGGCACTCCCCTTGTTGCCTCAGCCAGTATCGGAATCCTCGGCGTCGACATATCGAGTGACGTGCAGTTTCGTGGTCACTTGGAAGGGAAGGCCAAATTGGCCTCTAAAAAGCTTGGCGTGCTCAGCAGAGCGGGACAGTATTTCATGCCGGCACACCGCCTGCAACTTTACAAGGCGCAGGTTCGGCCGCTCATGGAATACTGTTCCCATCTCTGGGCTGGGGCTCCCCAGTACCAGCTCCTTCCACTTGACCGCATCCAGCGCAGAGCGGCTCGAATCGTTGACGACCGAGTGCTTTCCGATCGGCTCGATTCACTGGCGCTGCGAAGAGATGTTGCATCTCTTTGCGTATTTTATCGCATCTATCACGGGGAGTGCTCTGAGGAATTGTTCGGATTAATCCCAGCCGCCAAATTTCGTGAACGCACTACACGGCAAACGTCCCGATACCATCCACACCATCTGGATGCTTGGCGGTCCACCACTGTACGTTTCAAAAGGAGTTTTCTTCCGCGTACAACCTCTCTGTGGAATAATTTACCACCGGTGATTTTTCCGGACCGATACGACCTGGGGACCTTCAAGAAAAGAGCTTACTCCTTTCTAAAGGGCCGGCAACGCACCTGCAATTCCCCTGGTGTTGCGGTTGATCATGGGCGGCGGTAGTCACTTAACATCAGGTGAGCCACATGCTCGTTTGCCCCCCTCTTCTATAAAAAAAAAAAAAAAAAAAAAAAAAAAAAAACATAGACATTGCACACCTCCTGGCTTGGTTTTGTCTGTCGCCTCTCACAACGCCTATGAGTCGATAGGGTGTAGTGAATATTCTTACACGGCAATACTTTTATTATGTACATATCATCATCACCATCATTAGCCTATCAAGTTCCATTCTAAAACACAAGCCTACCCTACAGATTATAGTGGTATCTGTCAAATAAGAATTATGTTTTTCTTTTTTCTTTCTTAGTCAAAAATTCTTTCTAATTTACTAACTGTAAGGCAAAGCTTTATATTAAGACACAAAATTAGTAAAGTCTACGATGTATTGAAAGTGACTGGCTTATAAGTCTGAATCCAATATGAGCGAGATACAGTACGTGTGGTGCTCTATTGATAATCTCACGGTAGACGGGACGTCAAAGAGCGCGTCCAAATATCACTGAATACCGTGCTCTTTGTATGTATTCGTATTTACTAGTGTTTGTATGTGAATTGCCAGTTCAATTTAGATAAAGGGGTATTTGGATTGAGAAACTTTGTCCCATTTCAGACCATCACTGGCAAGTGTATGGTTTATTTGGGATGAATAAAGACAACGGAATATCAATAACATTGCTTGATATATAGTACGTAAGGGTAATATGATCATCACGCGGTTAATATGGTCACTTTCTTATAACTCAAAAACTGCAGCCTTGTTTGTATATTATATGGCTTTGTGATAAGATAGCTCTTCATCGGTCAATCAAATAATAAAGGGTTAAAGGGGCGATACTTTATTGACGCCATTTTGACAGTCGATATTATAGTAAATATTTTAGTCGATTTTAGTATGGTGTTGGGTAGTTAGTTTTTTAAGTAGGTTTTTCGGAGTGTTTCTAATTATTGCCAAAGCTTTTTTCTATTTTTTTAAACATAATAAGTATAGTATACGACATTATGTATCTTGTCTCTGTCCTTCCCCTAGTTTTGAATTTATAGGGTGACAAAACTTAAAGTGACCATATCGAGGGTTTACTGCAAAAACCAGCTAAGTTCAGCGAAGTTAGTTTTGAGTTAAAGAGTTCTAAAAGTTTACACCTAATTTAATCACTAAAATTTTGGTAAGTCTTACACTAGTAGTCATATGTTAGAATATTTATATAAGATTATGTTTATGTGAAGTCTGAATAAATATGTGTGACAGAAATCTTGAAATAAGGATTTTTTCAAGTAAAGGCGTGCAGTTAGTCGGTTTTACATGTCAATTGCTAAAATGCAGTTTTACCGAGATAATTGATGTTTTATATGGTTTGTGATTAATGATGGGTAGCTGATAATAAATAACTACGTTTTAAATACTGATACAATCATAAAAGAAATAATTTATTGTGTAAGCTATGAAAGAAAAAAGTTAGTTGGTTTTACCTGTAAATGTTTTTTAACTTTTAGGATAAAAGTGTTGTAAAATAAGAGGTTAAATTCACAATATTATTTTTATTGACTAATAAAAATTATAATAGAATCAGTTTGAAAGTGGAGAAGAAGAGTGTGGAGTGTAACTACTATAGTATTTTCATTAAATTTAACAAATATCTTAATTATTAAGAAATCACTCTTCTTCTCCACTTACAGTTTCATCTACTGCTGGTTCTGGCAATTTATCAATAGCTTGACTGTCAACATTTAAATTTTTAAACCAACCGTGAACTTCCTCTGGTATGATGCCTTTCCTACATAGATTTAAAAGATCTTTTTTCTTGGCCGCGCTTATTTTAAGTGGCTCTTTATAAAGGCAGTTTAATTGATCTGGAAATCGATAACTTACAGGTAAATCATTTTCAGTAAGTCGTTTCTTCTTCCTTGTTGAATAGTTGTGATTCTGCGCGCCATCTAATTGGAAAGTTGATGGATTGTCTCCAATATCCATTACGTTAAATTCGTCGCTCATGTCATAGTTGAAATAAATTTTTCTGTCCTCCCACTTCAACCATTGAACTTGTTTTCCTTTCTCATCTTTCGTTCTATTTTTTCATAATCTCACCTGCAAGGTGCTTCAGGTCAAGGAACTCATCATACTTAAATTCTTTTACATGGTATGGTTCTCTTGTCATTTTCTTACCATCAATTTTAATACTTTGCCTGCGTCTAGCACGTTTGAAAATAGAAATCCATTCCATCATGGAAAAAACAGAGGTATTTTTTTTTGCAAATTCTATACTACTGTGCATAGAATCTGCTTCCATTTGCGTGTGCCCAGATTCTAAAAACTTTTGTTCTATGACTTTAAGGTGGTCAATTTTTTGGACTGCCCAAAGAAGCAAAGCAGCCACAAATTGGTTTCGGTTTTGGCCACCACAAGTGTCTGAAAATAAGCTAATTTCTGTAACATTATCACAGACACAATTTAAAAGGTAGTGTAATAATATGGTTCCGATTTCAGAACTGCCTTTCCTTCCATTTACCTCTGACCATGTAAAACAAAAGGCATTATTGGGTAGAGCTGCTTCGTAGATTGTGAGGTTGTATACACACAACTTTCTTGAATAATAGAGCAGACCTACGTCGCTGGCAGGTATTTGAAGTACTGCTTGCAAATCAAATGTTACAGAGCTAAAATGCTCATCTGTGTTTGATCTAACTTTATCCTTCTCTTTTTCTCGATTGCAAATTTTCTTTCTTTCTTGGTGAGCTAGGTAGTCATCTTCAAGTTCTCTTTTTTTCTCTGTATCTGCTTTAGCATAATTAGTGCATATTAAGCATTGATCTTTCCTGGGCACGAAAAAACTCAGATTATACTCTTTTGAAAATATTCTACGGTATGTTATTTCAGAAGCTGGCTCAGAACCATTTTTTAAACACTCATCTTTGTACAATAAATACATCCTTCGAATATTAAGATTTTTATCTAAATACCTACGTTTGGTGTCTTTTCTACTATAATGGGCTTCCATACAAGGAAATGATTCGATGTGTTTTTTTATTCCTTGGATAATGTCAGGTTTCGTTTTATTAACTGGTTCGTGTGCACCTCTTTGGTCATTTACATCAAAACAGTTCATGTCATTCCGTTTATTGATTGCATCAGTTATTACTGCAGGAGAAATACTTAAAGTATTACAAAAAAAATTCTGACATACCTGTTTTTTTAAATTTTGTTTAGTAAAGAAACACTTCTTTGTATATTTTTTTTCTGGACGACGTCGATTACCCACAGAGAGAACTATTTTTGGCATTTGAATGGTAACATTGGCTAAAATAAAATTCTTTCTGCCCAGAAAATCTAAGTTCCAAAAGAATCTACAAAACTTATCTCTATCAGTAGTATCAAAGACATCAGTACACTTAAATTGACACTTGGAGCAATCTATCTCTTTTGGTACCTTAGCTGGTCTGATGTTAGCTTTGGATTTATAAGGCAAACCATCTGCTTGTCTTTTTCTTAACTACATTACGAGCCCAACTGCTTGGGTCTGATTTTCGCCATCTTTTTAACGGTTCAATAAGTAACCAAGCTTTTTTAAAAACCTCATCCAAAATATCTTCAATTATAGCTGTAATTTCGCGATGTTGTTCATAACCTTGGTCAAAAACTTCAATATTGTTCTGTATGTGCTCGACATCAAACTTTTCAGCATTAAAATTTTCTTTGTTTCCTAGTAAATCTTCTAATGTTACAAGATTGTTGGAATTTTCGTTTTCCAGTTGGTGAGAGAAAATTGGCAGGCGATAAGTTGGGTCGTCAGCATCGAAAACATCTCCAAATAAACTTTCCAATTCTGTTTCAACATTATCATCAGAATCTTCGCCTAAAAGAGACACAAATGCTAAGTTAAGATTCAGATTAAGAGGTCTTAAATTATAAATTTTGCATGTACTTTATTAAGAAAAAGATAGTATTTTTACCTTTTTGGTATTTAGAACAGCATGCCGTAGATTTAATGAGACTATTGAAGAACGTTTCGTTACCCGGACCATCTAAAAATACAGTATAAAGTTTAAGCATTTTGATTAGTATTGGATCTTATTCTTTTTTTAAACGTTTAATTAAACGTTTAATGTTGGCATTTGACTTGTCATTTTTATTAACCTTGACACAAGCCATCCATGTTTATTTGAATACTAGAAAGTATGTAAAAAAGTCGTCTTTATCGATCTCAAACGCGAGTGATAATATAACAGTCTATAGTAGTATGTACTATTATAAATTAAGTACTTAATATTTTACCATGAATTTGTGAATGATGAAAGTCTATAGCATCCGCGTTGTTATAAGATGTAGATTGAATTTCTTGAATATCTACCAGGCCTGCATGTGAACTTTGTTCATTTTCTAAAAAATAAACAACTCTATAAGAAAAAATTAACAGAAATTGTAATAAAACTTCGTTAGAAAACACAACCTCGAAATTTAACTTACCAGAAACCTTTTCACAATTTACGGCCACTAAAGATACTAGTTTTTTTCCTCTTGACATCATCTTAACAAATATAATCTGTCACAACGCTTACAATTACTAAAAACTAAATTTAAATACTACGCCCGATACATTCACGGTCTTTTCGCGGTAAACACTCCAAGCGAACTAAGCCATCGGCAACCTGTTAAAACGTGTTGACCGCGGTTATTTTTTTTTCCATAGTGTCACATGACGACAATTCAATCGAAGTATATTGCATAAACAAGCTAGAATCACTTAGTCGGTTTTACATGCTAACGATCCGAGATAAATGGAATATTTTAGTACAAGTATTTACAATTAAAGTTATATAGACGGTTTTTGTAGTAATGTTTTAATGGCATGATAAACAAGTATATTCTATTATATACGTTTATGTATTTCTAGTACTTTTTTACTGATTGTTCGTGAGAACATTTTGCGTAACCTATCAAAAAGAGAAAGGATTTAAGAACACTTAAAACTTTTTTCGGGATAACATTAAATGGAAATTTATTAGTAAAGAACTTTATGTTATTTTAGCTATTAAGTATAGGCCATTTTGCTTGATTTAACTGGTTTTACCATGAAATAAATTCTAAACGGCTTAACGTATCACTTAGCCGATTTTACCAGCATATAGAGCTCAAAAAAACTTAGTACCTTCATGTATTTAACAAATTTTTTGAAAAATTGTCATTTAGCAGGTTTTTGCAGTAATCCCTCGATATTATCCTTACGTACCTTACTACTTCATCTTTATCATGCTGTTATTAGTCCACTGCTGAACGTATACCTACCTGTTCTGTTGTATGGAGAATCGGATTTAAGCGTCACGGTCTGGGTATTTCCATCCATTAATTTCAGCCTATAAAAGTCCACTGCTAAACATAGGTCTCCCACTCACTTCCTGTTTTGGTTCCTTTTTGTTGCCTCTTACGATATTCGAAATACGAAACGATAAACGAAATAATTTTTCGCCATTCATTCAACGCCAACTAGATATCTTTTTGCAATTTTCCGCCACCCCTTACGGCATTATTATATTATTCTATGGAAGAAATCGCCTTCTTTCTATTAAATTTGGTTATTTCAAGAAAATATATATATATAAAGTGAGAGTTTTTAAATATTTTAATTACACTTCACTGCTGCTTCTCGATTCTTGTGAAATACAAAGTGTATTGCAGACTATCGTCATTGTCGAGAACTTATGCACACATAAAATATCGGATACTGAACACGAATTCTGTCATATCGAATTTCATTACTCTGTACGTACTCGATGTCTGCTTAATTACTGTGCATTCGATCTATATTTTCTGTGATATTTGATATGGTTTAAATACATTTTTTATTGTACGAGTATGTTGATAAAATATGAAAATGGACATTGTATAACTGTACTAGACTCCTAGGTTCAAATTTATATCAAATAAGGCTTATAAAAAATTCTATGAAAAATATACAGTTTTTCTGTCTTTTATGAATATTAACTTACAGTATATCTTAAAGTAAATTTAAATACAAAAACATTAAGAAACAGCATGGAAGCGATCACCCTGTTTCCTAAAGTTTAAAATCAATCATATATTCTTTCATGTTCTAGTAACCCTTTTTAAGGAAATTTTGGCGTGAAATTGATGGCCGGCGGAATATTTGCTCATATTATAGTATTGTTAAAATAATCTACTTAAGCGGTTTTAAATAGGTGATAGTGGTCACACCACTATCACCTATTGTTATGTATTTAATATCTGCGCATTTGACCCATTATTGGAAGCTAAGATAAAGTGCTCTGTTGGTGATGTAACCCCCAAGTTATAGTGTTGTTTAGGTCATTTGAGATACTATGGTCCTTGACTGTATGCTGGGTTAAGCTGTCGTCATAATCTCCCAAGATCTGTGCAATGTGACGCACCAAGATATTGTAAAGAAGTTTTTAAACAAATTCTTATAAAGAATAATTTTTGAAGTAAAACTTCTTTACGCATGCTTGACTTGTGCTAAGTGGATATAAACAAGAGAGAGCAGTGCGCGCGCACATTTTCTTTATTTCTTAGCTAATTATTTTTCGTAATTTTACTTCGTTTTGAACAATTTTTGAGTTTGTGTTTTGTTCAATACATTAAACATTCTACGTTTAAAGTGAATAAAATTGTAAATTCATTTTTAAGTTCATCATTTGTGAATTTTCGGGTGAATAATGACAAGCTTATGGAAGGAAGCTGATAATAAATTTAAATATTTGTAGAAAATTAATATATGTATGTATAATGTATATGTATATACATGTATATATTATACATACAGATGGAGCTAAAGAAGTTTTACTTCAGTCGTGTGGTCATAAGCACACTCGTTTTTTATTATTGCTTCACATTAGCAAAAAACGAGTTCATTACCAAAAAAGTAAGAAATTATAAAATAATTTCTTTAAATTTATTGATATAAAGGTGTAACATATTTTCCGAGACATTAACAGAGCTTTAAGGAACATAGCGATAAATATGTTATCTCACAGTGCATTAATGCTTCAGCCTAAGCTAAGCGAACGATTCACAGTCAATAATTATAACTGTCTTGTATTAGCCGTCTGTCTGATCAGCACTTCGAGCCGTCGTATCGGGTACTTATTAGTTATTATTACACAATTCATTATTAAATTTGAAATACTTTCACCTTTTTCTTTTTTTTTTTAATATAACATTACAAAATTTTCTGTATCATAGAGGCAGCTTACATACATAAATTACACAAGAACAAACACCCAGAACCGAAACAATTATTTGTACCCCATATAGACATTCATTCCGTGCGGGGTTCGAACCTGCGAGACCTAGTATTTCATCTCAGTGCTAAACCATTCCGTTATGGAGCCGCTATATCAAACAAAACGAGAATTTTTCCGGTCTATAAATAAAGCAATAAAAACGTAGATTATTAGTGAATTAATGCTATACTCAAATCAATAAACGGAAAGATCTAAAACATGATTGCTCCAGCTTTCAATGCAAAGCTCAAGGCGAGAGAGCGGACATTACGTCCAGACGGTCCGGTGAGTGACCCGTGACATGCAATATAGCACATTGAATCAGTACATTAATCCAAGATGGTGAGCAAAATATTATCAGACTTAATAATATACAAATCATTGCCTAAGATATCGGATTTTGTTGCGAACAAAATAATCTTTAATAAATGCCCCACACCCTTAGGCTATATGTGTAGTTGTTAGAAAATTTAAAATACGAGTAATGTCAGTTAATGATTTCATATATTAACGCGAACATTACACATTGATTAAAACTCCTTTTAAGGATTTTATCGCGTATAATTTATCTTATTTTTAATACCCGACGTTTCGGGTGCTGTTTTAAAATTGTAGTAAAAATAGCATGTTTCTTTTTTAACTTCTCTAATTTACGACTAAACGACTGAGGTGATTGACGTCCCAGTGTATTTGTTAATCCGGAGTACCTTCAGCTTTTTAATTAGTATTTATGGTCCAATCTATGCAGAATTAAACATATAGCTGACGTGAATTATAAGCTCAAAATATAAAAGTGTTTTGACTTTTTTAGAATTCTCAGAAGTGTTTGATCTCTCATGCTCATGAAGTTTGCAAACTCATGAAGTTTGAATTTAGTTTTAATCAAATATATACATTTTTTAATACACAAAAAGTGAATTTTCCTCCCTGTTGGTTCTTAGGCCAACAATGTATGGACGCCGAACAATATCCATTCCCTATTAGGCAATCTATGACGGAGGCTGGGCTTTTATAGGCTGCAATGGAATACACTGTAATACAGAAACATGAGTTTCTTAGGCCGACTCCACATTTGATGATCTTGACATATCGTCTCGCGTACGTGTATCTTAAGTATATACAGCTAGTTGACCGTACAGTATCATTAGTCATGTCGCGTCAAAAAACAGATTAAATATATATGCGTATTAGCATAAAGTTCTTTTAAGTGGACGATATAAATTTTCCTCCGATTCTCATATTTGTTTCAATTTAGAGTCTAAACTAGCGATCATGATACACTGTGCCACTCGACGACCCTTGATTAAGAATCAAAATGCAGATTCTTTGTAACCTTTTTTAGTACGTGATAGAGCCACGCTGTAGCTATATTATAGTTGTAGCACGAATGGATCGGCTCGACAGAGGCAGGACCACGCTCTTACAGAATACCAGCATAAAAAAGCAGCGTAATGCTGCTGTTTTTCGTATAGTGTGTGTAGAGAACCGGAGACCCTTTTTACTGGAATCGAGACATTCCATCTCTGTCCTAAGGGGTGACAACAAATTTGTATTTTGATTCTTAATTGAGGATAAATGTGGATGTCTATGGGCCACAGCATCCACTTACCATCAGGTGGACTGTGTGCTTGTTTGTCACCCAATGCTATAAAAAAACCAAAGACTAAGAATGGCTCGTTATCAGTAAACTGAATCTTCGGTTCTCCACACTCACCATACGCAATACAGCTGCATATTTACGACGGTATCTATAATGCAGCCATAGTATATTGCAGCGTACTTCTACCATGTCAAAAAGTTTATTGTGCTAATTTTACATATTGCAAGGATCGTGAAAACTAAGAGACTAAAATATCACCATGCTGTCACTGACAGAAAAAATCACCTCTAACAAATAACACTGGCATCAGACAATGTTAATCAGGAAACATTTTTTTTAAACATTTAAAGGTGAAAATAACTGCCAGTATTAATAAGTAGGTTTATTATGAGAACTTACCAACGCCCTAATCACTTTCTTACTTTTTTTCCCTCCCCGGAAGTTTATGTACAGGACAGAGACTTATGAAGACATTTCTTTATTTATGGTGCATGTACAAATTTAAGAAGTCGTACATCTCTCAACGCATTCCGCCTGGCCTTGCTACTGTTAATTCGAATAATGTTGGCATTATATCATATGCGTCCGGGATGTGAGTACTGCATCCTTAAATTTTGGGATTTTTTTTTTGCAAAGAGACAAAGATTTAAAAAAAAACACAAATCTAAA